CTACGCTCCCCCTCGCCCACGGGAAAAGCAGCACCCCAGGTGCTGCTGTCTGGGGGGCAGCGAGCCATTGCTCCCGCCCGGATGCCCTTCAGCAGGAAATGCTAAGCTCTGTGGGGAAGGTGCCACCCACCCAAGATGGCAGCAGACGAGTCCAGACCTTCTGGCGGGGACAAGCCAACGTGCCGCTGATTTCAACTGGCAGCGCCTACTTCTGGCTTGGGAAGCAAACAATCTGCAGCCATGAACCCGGTTTACAGCATTTTAAAAAATGTGAACAGGCGAGAGGATTTTAAAATGTCTGCGGCATCCATGAGGGCCGGTGTGGTGTTGTGGCTAAGAGTGCGGGGCTGGGGCTCAGGAGACCTGCTTCTTGTCCCTGCTTGGCCATGCAGACAACGGGGTGGACTCTGGGCCGGTCTCAAGCTCTCAGCCCAGCCTACCTGACAAGGCTGTTGTTGTGGGGTTAAGACGGAGAGGAGGAGGAGAATGACGGAAGCTGCTTCACACTCTTAAGAAAAAAGCAGGACAGAAGTCTAATAAATAGAAAATAAATACACCAGCTCTATCATGGTTAAGGTATGATGGGGGTTGTTCTTTTCCTGATCCTGAATGGCTTTGCCTCAGTTTATAAGTGGCACTGCAGCACCCCCTTGTCCGTAACAGAAGCTGGTGTCTTCTGCTTGCAAGACAAAGATTTTAAACTGCCTAACAACATTCCTCTCTAAATGCACCAGCTGGGCGTGTGGTTGCTGGCTGTTCCCTGTGATTTGGCTCCCTGGCAAGCGCTGTCTGTCATGTCCTTGCTAGTCTGCATGGCAGGAGAAGAAAGCGGGAGGGAGCACGTGGGAGAAAGGGAAACGGGCCCCCCCCCACACCTCAGCGTCACACTCTGGCCCTACCCACTGCTGGCCTTGCCCTGTCGAACTGTGCATGAGGGAGTGTGGACTTTGGGGGGGATGTTTGGCTGGTTCCCCTCCCCGCCAGCTCAAATGCTCCATGATTTTTCCTCTCCCTGCTGGAACATCCGCACTGCCTTGGGTTCCTTCCACAGGAGACAGCCGCGGTTTGGAAGCAGACCCTTTTCGGAAAACAGTGGGGCTCGAGCGCCCTTCGCACCCGCCCCGTAAGCGTCACCGGCAGTGCCGGCATCGGCAGGCGAATTATAAACCGTGCCAATCCACACTGAACCGAAGCTGTAACCCTCTTTAACTAGAGATCCAAATCAGCACCCTGAGTTATGCTTGTCCCAGCATCTGATAAGGTACAGAGGGAGCGTCTAATAAGAACGAGCACTGAGGACCTTTAACAGTGCTGTTAAAAAGGAGCGCTCATTTTTTAGGAGCTGCATTTGCTTAGACTGGCTAGAGAGGGGTCACCCTCTCTGCCCCAGCCCCTGGTTTGTATGGAGGACGCGTGTGCCTCCGAGCACCGTGAAAACCATGTGCCTGAGCCACCTCTGTGTGTGTCTTCTTGCAAGACACAGCTACAAACACGGGACCGTCGCAAAGTATTATTCGGCAGGCCTGATGCACGCATGGAAAACAAGGACCTAGCACCGGCTCCGGCATCATAAAAAATATACGGCCGTTCACCCGTCATGTGCTTGATACAAATCTGTGGAAGTGCAGAGATCAGCAAGGAATGCAAAGCTGACTCTGCGAGAATCTTTGCCATGTGTTTGATTTAAGGGAGAGTTTCTAGCCCTCATGGATGCAAAGATGAACTTGAGAACATACAGGCGATGACTACTAAAGACTTCAAGGACAAGCCAAGTGGCCATGTAAGCACTGGAAATCTTTTTGGACTTTTTGGACTTTTTGGACCTTTGCTCATAACAAGCAAACCCCGTAGCAAACCCCGCATGAGAAGGGAAAGCACGTTCGCTGTATTGATAGACGATGCAGAGTTCGGCATTAATTAGCGCAGAATTTGGATCGCCTGGATACACAAGCACCGCTGCGGACACACCCCTGTGGCTGCAGGGCTCGCGCTTGGACCGTGGGTGTCTGGCGTCACGCCACTCACGGCGAGGGCGGCCTGGTTGAGAGGCCGTGTGCTTCCCACACGTGCCCATTCCTTGGCTTGACCAGAACTTGCCTCCAACCCACAAGTGGAAACCTCATTTCAACTGGGAGCTCCCAGTTCTGACCTGAGAGGTAAACTCTGGTTTACACAAACCGTAAAGCCGGGCTTCTTTTTCCCATACAGGGATGGTTACAAGGAAACAAGTTAGCTGAACCATTATAAACACTAGATGGTGAAATAGCTGGAAAAAATCTAAAAGGGTATAATAGAAGAACAGGGTTTGGGGGGTTTTTTAGGGGCTGCCCAAATCTATGTTCAGATAAACTTGCTTACCTCTGTAGAGTCCACTTTGGATAAGAAAGGGAACTGTGTTTCCAAACCCTGTTGTTTTATTTAAGATCCTAAATGAATAGGCACCATCTTATTTATTTAGGATGGTGGAACCTTCACACAGCCACTGCTCCCTTCCAAAGGTACAGGTGTGTGCTGCAGAAAAGGTAAGGAGGGGTGCTGGACCTGCTTGCCCACTGAGGAAATCCTCCCATGGTCTGGCGTAATAGGCTTGCGATAAAACCCAGGGCTCCCATGGAAGGAAGGAAGGAAGGAAGGAAGGAAGGAAGGAAGGAAGGAAGGAAGCCAGCCAGCCAGCCAGCCAGCCAGCCAGCCAGCCAGCCAGCCAAGGATAACGGTATAAATATCGACACTCAAATATGTGGGGGGCATCACCGGGAATCAGGCTACTGGTAAAGTGGGGACTCTCCTTTTTGCACAATGCCTCCACTCCCAGACTGATTGCTTCCAGCCCTGGACATCTGCCCCTGCCTGAGCGACCTGGAAGCCTTCACTGTCACCCGTAAATGGATTTTCCAGGTACCAGCTCAGCCTCCAAACACAAAAGGTGCTTTCCTCTACCACAAGCTTTTGTCTGGCAAGCTGCTTAATATCATGGATCTGAGAGCATCCCGACAGCTTCTGCACCCTTCATCTTTAATGCATCCCCCCCGCCACTCCCCCTCCCCCTACTTCCCACCCAGACAATTAATTTATTTTATAGGCTGTAAGCACGCTGCTGTTTCCCCAATTTTTCACACTACACACACGCGGCACGCTCCCTGCTGCATGGGATTTTTATTATTTGTTTTGGGGTCAAGCCTCCAGAATGACTGAGCAAAAAGCCCAGTGCATGATCACACCACTGTGAAATGTGCATTTGCATTTTCAATCTAGTAATTCACACTTGCAAACAATGAAATTACCTGCGACTGCCACTACAGAAAGCAGCGTTATCCTTACCTTTCCCTCTTTCGTGCATATGTGGGCTTTGCTATTATTATTATTATTATTATTATTATTATTATTATTATACTGAGGAGCAAAGCTGTAGGGAGATGAGGAGAATCACAGCAAACTTTAAATTGGACCTCGCATCATTCTCTTGCCCTCACTTGTCTTGTGGGCCCACAAATAAAGCACAGAAAATAGGATCATAAATAGGAGAGCTGGAAGGGGCCACGGGGCCACCCCCGGCTCAGTGCAGGACTCCAAGTTAAAGCTTCCCTCTCAGAGGGCTGTCCAGCTGCACCCCGAATGCCTTCGGTGTGGGAGAGCCCACCGCCTCCCTAGCGCATGGGTCCCATTGTGGTGCTGCTCCCACAGCCAGGAAATGCTCCCTGATGTTCAGCCAGAGCCTGGCTGGCTGTGACCTGAGGCCATTGTTCCGCATCCTGCACTCTGGGATGATCAGGAAGAGATCCTGGCCTTCCAGTTTGCGACAGCCTGTATGTTCTGGTAGAGAACTACCAGTCTTCTCTTCCTGAGGCTAAACATGCCTAGTTCTTGCCGTCTCTCCTGACAGGGTTGTTGCCAGTCCCCAGAACATTGTTCTAGCCCTCCTTTGAACCCTTTCCAGCTTGTCCGCATCTTTCTTAAACTGTGGTGCCCAGAACTGCTTTTCACATCTGCATTGCAAAGCAGGGAAATCAACACACTGATCGTATCCTGTGTGCATGATGCTTCATGTTTCACATTATTGTTAACAGCCATTTTAAAAATAACTTCCAGGAGGGTAGCTATGTGAGGATCCAGTGCAGCACACACGAACAGGGTCTAATATCCTAGTTTGTCCCCAGACAGTTAACCATCAATTTTCCAGTTTAGATGAAACAGGACACAAACTGCAGTTAGCAGAATTCCTTGTTCGCTTGTTTGTTGACACACACTAAAGGGAACAGTGAAGTTTCTGTCTGCGTGGTTGTTCATACTGCTGCTCATTAAGCCACGATATGATCATCTGAACTCGAGTGTCTTGTGGCACTTTCCCGATCAATAAATTCACTTTTCGTGGACTGGAGTTCGTTTCATTCATCTAATGAAATGGATTTTGCTCCACAACAGCTCCTGCCACATGATGTTCGCTACTCTTTCAAGGTGCCAAAAGATCGTTCTTTTTTAAAAGTTGAGCTCCACTGCAGCAAAGGAAGACTGAAAGAGGGACTAATACAGCCGCCTCCAAGTGGGCACCCTCTTGCTGTTTCCGACGATGAGTTCAGGCGTGCCCGATCAGTAGGGTGGTGGTGGCGGGGAGCCGATGTCCAAAACATCTGGCAGGATAAAATGCTCACGAACTGGGCTTTCATGGCGGTTAAGAGCCACTGATAAGGCTCCCCTTGCTTAAAGGGCCAGGAAAGCCAGTTTGAGAAACATCCAGCCAATGGGAAAAGCAGAAATGGAAAGGCACACACAAAGCCAGGCATGTCTGAGCAGCCAGTACCCGAGGCTGCACTGTGCGAGACAGGCAGCGAGCGAGCGCGGGAGCCGCGGCGCGCGCAGCCGGCTCAGCCCGGACAGAGGGCCTGCATCGCCAGTGACAAATGGCTAACTGATACAAAGAACCCGAGACGGTGACAGGCTGAAGAACAGGTCAATATCAAGCTGTCAGAAAGCCCTTCGAGAAGCGTAATTAACCGCTTACTAACCTGGCTTCATCATTCATCGTGCAGTGGTCAATGGGAGCCATGAAGCTCACCAACTTGCTGTGGACGTGATACCTGAGAGAGGGAGAGAGAGAGAGAGAGGACACATTCTGTAACTATTCGGAGAGAAGGAAGAAAAACAGCACCTTTCTTGGAAAATATTCCTGCTATGTGACGGCAACGTCCCATGCATTCTGCAGTTTGGCAGCGATAATAAATGCATGCATGCATTTAATCCGTTCCTAGCTGCTTTCGAGGCCATCACCTTCCCAAGGCTCCATAAAGACAATAAAAGCATATTAAGCCATATTAAATCTAAATGGATGAAGAGCTAAAAAGTTTCAGTCAAATGCAATCGCTAAAAATATCCACTAGCAGGAAAACAGTAGCCCTCCTTTAAAGATTTCTGCTTCTGCTTAAGCACCCCCAGAATTCAGTGTGATTTGAACCTGCCAGGGTCAAGCTAAAAGCAGAACTGCCTATCTGCTTAATTCATCCCCACATGGAGGAGCAGCGAAAGACTGAATACCCAGATGGAGTGACTCCTCTTTGACAAACCTATCTCTATGCTGTGATCAGCACAGGAGCCCCCCCCCTTCTTCAAGAGAGGTTCAGAAGACAGCAAGAAGGGCCAGGATCTTTTTAATGGTGGCCCCCTGACCATGGAATACCCCACAAGCAAGGTCCACATGGCACCAACGTTGCCATCGTTCAGTTTCAAATTAGGACTTTACTCTGAAGGTAGATGTTGAGCTTCTTGTTCTGTGCTGACCTTCTGGCTACTTTAACAAATCGGGTTTAGCTGCCCTGTAAGCAATAATATTGTTCTATGTGCCGTGGGCCTCTTTTTCAAAGAGATTGGCAAGTATGAACTTCAAAGGGCACCAGTAGCCATCTGAGGGACAGCTGTGGCAGATTCAGAAGAGCAATTAAGAACATTTAGATGGCACCTTACGCAAGGTCAGACTGGAAACCCATCTAGCCAGAATTTGCCTACCTTCCCCGAAAGAGCTCCCCGGGACTTCAGGAAGAGAAGGGACTTCCCCATCGCCAGGTACCATTTAACTGGAGATAACAGAAATTGAACTGGGACCCTCAGCGAGAAAATTACATGCTCTGTTGCTTAGCCAAGCTTCCCTCTCTTGGAATGGTGGACAGGAGGAGGGAAAGCTTGGAGAAAGCAGCTCTGAATACCCATATATTTCAGGATTGGTTTTTTTTTTTTTAAATCTTACAAGGTTTTAGGCTGTAGTTTTTAATTTCTAAAAATATTTGCACCCAGATAGGGCCCCCAAGCAGTTCACCCATGAAAGTCCAATAAAATCAATAAAATACAATAAAAGTAGGGGCATGATCAGACCCACCAAAACATACACAACAGGGACGAGAAACAAAGGGGAAAGCTACAAGGCTGCCCAACGGCTCAGAAGACGGCCTCTTGCAGGGGGGTTCATCACCCTTGGGATGCCACAACAGAAAGGCCCCATATAAGATGGAGGAGGAGATGTAAGCTGCCTTGAGCCCTTTGTAGGAAAAAGGCAGGATATAAATCGAAAAATAAATAAATAAATAAATAAATATTGCCTTCCTAAACATGGCAAGACATCAGATGCTGAATCTGGCGGGTGGCCAGTGTTAAACCAGGGGAGGCAACTCTCATGGCATTTCACCATTCAGGGCAAGCTACAGAACCTCCAGGGTGCCAAATCTGGCTTTCCAGATTTCCTCCGGTGGTCCTGCTCCTTCCCTGGCATTTGTGACTTCGCACACCAGTCTGAAAAGCTGAACTGCCTCTCCCCAGGCTTAGATCCTGGCCCAGAGAGACCTAAGCGAAACCACGCTGGCACTTTCTGGCCCCCTGATCCTTCCCATCTTGCCTTCAGCCCACCCGGCTGCGAAGTGGCCTCCCCAGCTGAGCTAAAGGCTCTGGTGTAGGGCTTCAAGGGCAGGCAGCAGACCAAACCTGGAGTTTCTCGTATGCTGCTCATCTTCCATAAAGGCAGGTCGTTCTGGTCCAGGTGGGCTATTCCACGTGCTGCGTACCACCCATTTCTCACCCTGTGCTCTTCTTCGAAGGCACCAGAGATCACTAATCTCGCAACTTCCCGCCCACCCATTCGGCTAACCCCAAATCGTGCCCGCTCTGCGCAGGCAGAAACCCTTTCGGTCGCCTCGGCTCAAATGCATGACCACCCCCCCCCCCACAAAAAAAAAGGCTTGCAAGCCTGGCTCAGGGTGGCGTGAGGCTCTTCCGCCGACTCTGACGGAGTCAGGAATGCATCCCATCTGCCTGCAACACTGACAGGAAGGAATATTGATAGCCAATAATTACAGGCTTTTAGGCCCAACAAAGCAGTGCTTCCCTCTTTTCATAAATTACCTTATGACATCTATCTTAAAAATCGCTATGCCAGGCCTGACCCAGCCCAATTCCACTGACTTTTCATCATGTGCCATCTGAGCTCAAGATTGATGGTCGTGCTCGCCCAAAGAGGGAGCAAAGAACAGTGGATGCTGCTGCAGGGCTCCTTCCCCAGCCTTCACCCCCGGGAGGAGCCCAGTGGCTTTTCGGCCGCCTGCAGGCCAGGAAGAAAGCGTCTACTTCTGCCCCAAACTTACTTCAGATGCACAGCTCAGGGAGGTGGAAAAGGGTGAAGGAGACCCCCCCACCCCAAGTGTGGCTTGTCTACTTGCACCAACACCAGTTCTCAATCCTTGGCACTGGCTGTATCTAAGTGTTGGTATTAACCTTAGAACCTGAACGCTGGGGGCTCTGCAGTACCAGAGTAACCTGGCTGGGCACTGTGGTCGGCCTTGAAGGCTCTACCCCTTGACCAACCATGAGGAGAGTTCTGGGTTAGCACGTGCTAGAGATGAGGCCCTTGCAGTGGTATTTTTTGGGGGGGGGGGGGCAACCTGACTGTCAAGCCCCTTTTTATTCCCAAAGTCTCCTGATTTTAATTCTGGCCTCCTCCATTTTAAAAACATGTACGGATTATTTCTGTTCTATTATTTCGAAACGGCTTGGGACATGGATATTTGAAGAAGTGCCTCCTTCCATATATACCTGCCTGGCCTCTAAGATCTGGAGTGGAGGTCCTTCTTCAGGAGTCCTCTTCGAAGGAGATCAGGAGAGTAGATACCTGGAGAAAAGCCTTCTCTGCGGTGGCACCCCAGCTATGGAATGGGCTCCCTAGAGAGGCGTACCTGGCACCAACGCTTTTTTCATTTCGGTGCTGGGCCAAAATCATTTTATTTTCCCAGCATTTTAAATGTCAGTATTGTTTTTAATATTGATTTTATATATCATTTGTGGTGCCATGTCTTATTTATTTATGTTAGCACTGACTGTCCAGAGACACTGTAAAGGGTGGGATAGAAAAACTTTATATTGTTTATTTTTATTTATTTATTTATTTTTCGATTTATATCCTGCCTTTTTCCTACAAGGGACTCAAGGCAGCTTACATCTCCTCCTCCATCTTGTCCCCACAACAACAACCCTGTGAGGCAGGTTGAGCTGAGAGTCTGTGACTGGCCCAAAGTCACCCAGTGGGCTCCATGGCTGAGCGGGGACTCGAACCCAGGTTGTCTGAGTCCCAGTCCCACGCTCTTCACCACTACGCCACACTGACTCTCGTACTGTAATGTTCTCGTCCTTATTCCTATTTTGTCAAGCACCTCACATAAGGGTTTGGCCCTCAGAAAGAGCAATGGCGTAAACCATTCGCCACAACGTCTATTCTGGAGGGCAAGGGCCTTACCACCATGCCTTCTAGATTCTCATTTTTCATTTTGGACAGCCAACATTTGTTATTTTGGAACATTTAAACCATTCGTTCCCAGAATGAAATGTCAACATTAAAAATTAAAAGCTGCTATGTCTCCAGACAACACCAACTCACAAAGGAGGCTGTTCGTTGCACCTCTGTAGAGAGTCTCCACACAGGGACATTCTGCTCCATCCCTGTCGTTCCATATTAGATGATAAAAGGAAATACCTGCCACCAGGTTTAATCGGGGGAAAGTGGGTATCTCAGTCATTGGAAGTTTGGGGAGCTCTGGTTTCTGTGATTCCGTTCAATTAGCGTGTTCAAAAATCCCTAGGCCAGCTCTCAGGCAAAGGCTTCCCAGGGCAGCGAAATGTAAGGACTGCAATATCCTGTCTTGATAGCACATAGCCATTTCGAACTGGAATTAGGAATATCCTGCCAACTAGAATACCCCCCTCACATAAAACTAATTAAACCACTGGAAAAAGACGTGCACACGTGCAATTTAAAACCAGCTGCAGTAGGCACCATGTTTATTTCTTTAATAAATAATAGTTGCGCTACCTGTGATGATAAGGCAAATTGGAAGCGAGAAAGGCAAGACCCCGTGAATAGGAATGCAACATGAGGCCAGGACTGGAAAACAGCTTACGCCAAACTTCCTAAACTGATATCCTGTGGATATGTTGGCTCACATGTCCTATAATCCCCCAGCCAGTGAGATTTGTAGTCCAGCACATTTGGGGGATGCCTGTATGGGGCAGGCCGGCCTTACTGTACTCACCGAAGTTTCCTTCCTTTGCTGGCTTTTTTGTCCACCTTCTTCCGGATTTTGCTCTGCAATTTCTGGATCGCCAGCCACTGCCTAGGGAATCCGGGAGAGGGAGGGAGAGAGAGAGAATATATTAGAACAGGCTCTCTAAAATGGGGAAAGGGGAGAAAGACCCTGCTTCTGGCTTGCTTTAAATGTTTCAAGGAACAACATCAGAGAACCGCATGCTGTTGGTTCTTCGCTACCCCCAGTGGCAAAGGCAGCCTGTCAGCCTGGAGAACTACTGGGAGGGTGTTGGGGCTGGACAGGAGGCAGTGCCAGCTGGGAAACACTGCGAAGGTGGACATGGTCCTCGGGGCTTGGGGTTCCGCACCCTTCTCTAGACTTGGCATGGCTCGAAGCTGGGCATCCTTCCCAAAGGGTATCCCAGAGCGCCCCCCTGCTGGTCCAACAGGTACTGGGAAGCTAGGCAGGAGGTGTCTGGCACCAGGGCTGGATGCCCCCCTAGCCCAGCCTTGCACCTCCCACATCAACTGTGCGAGACTCTTCAGGAAGACCCCTCTTGCACCCCCAGAACGGTGGCGCCGCGACTACATTATGTTTTTTAATCTGTGTAAGAGCTCCTCCCCTGTATGCTGAGCACAGAATGCAGGAAGGGGGGCGTCTTATTTCTCTCCCCAATTCTCTGCTTAGAAGAATAAAATTCACACACACACACGAACCCTCCAAATCCTGTTTAATGAACAGTATACATTTAAGCACAGCCACTGGCTATAATTTGGCAATGCATTAAAAAAAAAAAAAGGCGCAAGGAGAGGGAAAACAGCCCCCCACCCCAAGCTGAATAAAACAGGAGCTCAAAGTGCTAAACTCAGAACACACTGCCAGAAAAGCCATTCGAAGCATTATGAAAAGCTCGGGCGTGTCGGCAAAATTGTTTTCACCCTCGTTAAAATATCGCCGCGGTTTTTAGTGCACTGTGCCAAGTTTATTTGGTGGTATGTCTGGAATATTATGGCAGCCTTGCTCTGCTATAATTTAACGGGATGGAGCCAAAAAAAAACATGCACTTAAGCGGTGATTACATTGCACATCTATCTGACTTTACAATAAAATAGATTACGGTAATTAAGATTATATTAAGATTGTGGTAATTGGATTTTGAGATTCCCCCCCTCCATGTTGGGCTCTCCAATGAGTAAATCAGGTAAAGACGATGCCAGTTTCTAGCTTAAAAATAAAAATGTTTGCAACTAGCAGCAGAGTTTCTCCCCGCCGCCCCCTCCAACTCTCCCTAACATGTCCTTAGCCTCGAGCGTACGCCTCCAGATCGAGTCATTTCCCACCTTCCTTTGCCCCCTGTGGTGTTCAGCAGCTGGTGGGGAAGATTCAGGGAGCATACAACACATTAATTTGAAAGGCAGCATCTATTATGACTGAAACTCAAAATGTACTTATTCACCACCCTGCCCCTTTCCAGAAAGCCGTTTATAAGCCGAACATGCGTCAGGGGTGTGAAGCAGTCGCAAACAAGGCTAACGTGATTTTTCGGTTGCACTGATGGATCTATAAGCTCCCAAGTCATGAACAAAAAGACTTCCATTCCTTTTCTGAGCTAGTCTGACCTCCTTGGAGTGCTGTGTCCACCTGAGGGCATCACACTTTGAGTATAAATATGCAGAGTCAGAGGATGACAACCGAGATAACCTGGGGAATATGGAAAGCAAGTCTCGCCAGGAAAGGATTAGCGAAAAGGGCATGCTTAGCCCGGAGAGGAGGAGAGGCAGGTGGAACCGCTTCTTTCAAACAGGGCTGTCACACTGACTTGTTATCCGCAACGCCAGAAGTCATAACTATATTAAATAGGCTTAAGTGGAAGGAGGGCAGCAAGCTTTGGGTTGGACATTCCTTTATTCAAGTTGTATGCTGCCCAAACAGCGAACGGCCTCGACAAGCACAAGAATAAAACTAAGCAGCAGCAGCAAAATAACCCGTAAGAGATATAACAGAAAAAGCTAAATAATGCAAAATCAAACTTCAAAAGCAATGAGGAGTCAGCACGAAAAGCAATAAAGGAACAGATCACAGATTCAGTGGATCCAGGGTTGTCACCCAGGCCAAACCTAGCTCCTGAAACCATTTTCATTTAGCTGGAGCAAAATGCTACCCCAAGTTTGCACACAGATCTGTTTGTAAGGAGGGAAAAAAAGAGAATTTTGCCCTGGGCAACCATCTGTAAAACAGAGTACAAAACCAACAGATTAGCTACTTTTCTCACCTTTCCACACAAGGGCCAAGGGTGACTCAAGGTAGAATACTGAACATAAATCTTTATCATAATGATGATTAAGTATAAATATGGACAAGACCAGGGGAATAGAAACATTAAAAACTGAAGCAGCCGCAAAAAGGGACATTGATAAAGTCCAGGGGAAAAAGATAGCCTTCGCCTGATACCTGAAAACCTCAAGTATCAGTCCCGGCACAAGAAAAGGCCCATCACGCCATGATGGCTCATCTTCAAGAAGGGTCTTGATTAATATCCCATCAAAGAGGCGGGTTCGTTCAGCAAAGGATGCTGGGAGCTTAGCTTACCTGCCCATTGCCACTTGGTCATTTGGATCCAGGGAGCTGGTTTTGCGTTCAATGAGTTCCCGGAGGAGCTGGAAATAAAAAAAGGGGAAAGACAAGAATGAAACAGGGCAATTCTAGAGAAGGCTCAAGGATTTATTTCTTCTCTTCACAATCTGTTTTCCGAAGCTGGTTTGTGCAGCTGGGAATGACTGCTCCCGGCCTATATTAAGGCAAAATATCCCATTACATCTGAACCAAGGAACCTGAGCTTAGAGTCGCTGAACAAAACAGGATTAACAGATAGGATGGGCTTGTAAGTCACTTTTTAAAAGTGAAAACAGGAAAGACAGTCTGACGCAGACGACATACTAACTTAAATGATTTTCGTGGCACCAGAATGGATCAGGATGCAACACGCATTTTTCTAAGATACGAAAAATGCTGCATACAGAGAAAAGGCAGGCTGCTTATTTGTGGATGTCGTTCTTTAAGTGGTCAGCTGTGCATTCATACCTATAGGCTCTGTGCCTGCATAGAGGAGGGGGGAGGGGGGGCTGCCAGCAGGGACACTCAGCATCTGTGCTTAGCCCCCTCTGGGCACTTAGGTGGGAGGCCGGGTTGCGCCTCTTTTGCTGGAGGGCTGACTGGATCTTGGATGTGAGAAGACATTCAGTGTATATGCTGCTGTTAGAGGCATGAGAGCTCAAAGCACTCAGGTGGCCTAGGTGTTGGTTGCCAGAGCCCCATCTGCCCGGTTGTGGGCAGAATACAGCCAATCACCCGTCTGGGTATTAAAGAGACCCTCCCCATCAAAAGAGAGGGCCTCAAAGCGGGGCTGGGGGAGTTCAGGCGAGCAGAGCCATGCATGGCGACGGATGGCCACAGGGCCGACTGCAGCCTTGGCGTCACCGTCCCCATGAGGCTGAGTCCCAGGAGGGCACGGCTGAGAGAGAGAGACCCTCCCAGCTCACCCACCGGGGCTCAGCGGCGCAAGCAAAGAATACGGCAAAGCCCATCCCATTCTCTTGAACTTTCAAAAGTTCCAACTGCTCTGGGGTTTAATTGAATACACTACCTTGCCTGCTTCTACTTTATCTTGTTTTAATTGCTTTTTATCTTGTAGCTCGGCATGGGGAGGGGGGTCTGTTTTAAATGTAATTTCATTTCATTTCACACCACCCAATAGCCAAACCTCTAAAATGGATTATAAAAACCAGATACATACAAAAATATAAATATATATCACACGCAGGCACGTACATATCTAAACACAGTTTTAAACATTCAGCAAGAATGGAGAATGCTGGGAGATGCAGGTCCTTCTTCTGCCTAAGCATGGATACGACAGCACCCTAAAACGCCCAGGAAAGTAAGAAGGGCTTCATCAGGCACTGAAAAGGCCACGATGCCACAGCAAAACAGGCTCTCTCATAGCCACCCACTTCACTCCCTTTGTGGGCAAATGCCCTTCCCAGGGAGATCTACAAGCTTAAGACGTTGCTTTCCCAGTAGGCATTTGATTTTGGATCCTATAATCTGATTATTCATGTTACTGCTCTCTCCCTTATATATATGGGCACATCTAAGAATGTTTAAGAAATAAAGTCCTCACAGCCGCGAACGCATTACTAGCTCCAGCTTTCCTTTATATATACACATCTTTGCTCTTCTAACACTCATGCCAAGCTCTGGGCAACTGACAGCAAACTGAAGTAACACAAAACATCAAAATAAAAATACGCTAAGAACGATAATAAAAAAGGAAGCAGGCTTGATCAGCTAAAAAAATAAAAGCTCTTCGAAGTCTAAAATGCTCTTTTTTACTGGTGAGGCCTGCATCCCCTTTGCATATGAAATTCAAATGAAAACCTTGTCTGCCCTGCCAGGTCAATGCCTGAGGGAATTTTAAAAGTAACCAAGAGTCCCAAGAGGGAGCCACTCAGTTTTCATGGGCATGATTTGGGCCCAGCTGCACAAACGACCCTGCTTCTCGTCTCTGGCAACTTTGCTTCCGCCATAGGCATGGCAGAAAGCCCCCCCACTCCCATTTTATATTTATTTGATTTATATCCCGCCTTTTCTTTTTAAAAGATTCAGAGCAGCTTACACCAATCTCCTTCCCACAACAACAACTCTGTGAGGTAGGCTGGCCTGAGAGTCTGTGAGTGGCCCAAAGTCACCCAGTGGGCTCCGTGGCTGAGCGGGGACTCGAACCCAGGTCATCTGAGTCCCAGTCCAGTGCTCTGAACCACTATACTACACTGGTGCTTTGCCAGACTGGAGGCAGAAGGCGGGCAGGTGCAGGAGGAGGGGCCCTCCTTTAAGGCATTGCGGATAGAGGCTGTTGAGGGTTTTATAACAGCCCTCCCCAGCCTGAGACCACCCAGATGAGTTTCTGTGCTTTCTGCTGCTTTCTGTGTTGCTTTCTGTGGGAAGCTGCTTTCTGTGTTGGGAAGGGGCTTAGAAATGGATGCAACAATTTCTTGGGAAGGAGTCCTCTGTGCAGGGAGAGGGAAAAATGAGGAGAGTGGAACCCGCTTGGGAGCGCAACACCGAACTCCATTAGCAAGACGTATTGTACCACAGTTAATTTCAGACGAATCAATGAGCGTTGCAGCGTTCCCTTCATCATTTTATGATTAGTTTAATCCACCCCATCTATATCAGCCGAGAATCTTTAAAAGGTCAGACAGAAAACACAGAGAGAAAGGTGGGTGATGCATCTGTCTTTATACGAGCGAGGCCAGGTGAGGTAACATTCTTAAACCTGAACAAGCAGCTTCGGTCAGGGGATGAGCCGGTGTTGGCAAGCGATTCAGTGCAACACCATCTTTGTCCTGGGCGTGGAGAGGAGAGACCGAAGGCCTCAGATGCTGCTAAACTCCCAAACTGGAAGCAGGCCGGATCTGTGGCTTGGTTATTGTTCTAATGTGCGGTTCCATTCCTCTATGAAACAGAGCACAGAGTTTAAACTGGTGATTCTTGGAAACCTGAAAGAGGAAAAGTAACCTCCCAGTCCTCACTCAGGACTAGGAGCATGCAGGCACACTGTACCTGCTCCCATCCTGTGTCCTGCAAGCTCCAGGTATTCTATCATTTGTTGCTGTTGCTTGTTTTGCCTAATAACATCAGCACCAGTGCCCCTTACATGAAAGAGGAGACAGCCAGGAATTTACATGTGTTAATTGGCTTACTTAAAGCCAGGGTGTTCCTGTTATCAGCAACAATTACACTGTAGATGAACACCATTAATGACATGACTGCCACCTCGCATTTAATGTCCTACCGACTTCCCCTTTTACAATTCTTCTCCTCACTACTCGACCTAAACCTGGAATTCGCCGTAATATACTACATACCTAACGGAATGGACTACAGCCCACAAAACCTTATGCCAGAACATACAAATATGCATCTCCCTCTGAATGCGCCACAAAACGTCTGGCGATTAGAAAGGTCAAAATCCCACCAGCAGACACATGTGCACTGGGGGGGAAATCACACAAAACGTGTTAAGACTTTTGGGAATACTGAACCAGCCTGGGCAATGCCTTGAGATCCCTGTGGCAGCAAAATATTACGTATACTCCCCTTCCGTTACATTGCGAGAAGTTAAGGGGCAGAGGACCAGTGTCTTGTTCACACAGTGCGAACGGCAGAGAAGCATCTCCAAAAGCTCGCCCTTCTCTGCCGTGCTCGGCGGATTGATTCCCCAGCATCTTCCTGGCACACCATCTATCAGTTTATCTCTCCCACTTCATCACCGTCACTCCTGGCAGCTAAATACAAGAGCCAAATCCAGCCTTACGCAGACAGCCGACACGGTAAACCTGTGTCACGGCGACGCTGTGCTGTGAACACTCGCCCTCAAGGGTTTCGCTGAAAATGGGCCGCTCGGTTCTTGGCCAGGCTCACTGCCATCGGGAGAAAGGAGGGGGCGAAGTGGCGGGCAAGAAGCTGAGGCTACCTCTGGGCATGACTGTCTGTGCCTGGAGCACTGCTCACGCCTTCTTTTCGCCCTGAACGTTGGGGAGCAGTTAGTCCTTCCGGGCAAACAGGAGGGGGATTTTATTTATTTTTATTTATTAATTAAAACATTTTTATGCCGCCCCATTCGCCGAAGCCTCGAATCCGTTGATGCCCACAGCCACAGGCCTGAGAGGGGGCAAATTCTGCACCAAAGGGGTCCAAACGAGGGGGGGAAAATAAGACTGCAAACCTGGGGACTGACAGCATGCAAGGCAGGGGCTCTGCCACAGGGCCTCCCTTTGCAGTCGAATGGCATGCGATTCAGGACAGGCAAGGAGGACAGACTTTTCCACACAGGAAAGGGTGAAACCATGGCATTTGCCACCCCAAGATGTTGTGCTGCCCACTCGCTTGGGTCGCGCTGAAACAGGATTCGCCAAATTCATGAAGGATGTGCTTAACGGAGGTGACTAGTCATGACGGGGCCAGTGGGCTGTGCACACCGACGGCCAGGAAGCACGGGAAGAGGGTGCCGTCTGCTTCCCGTCCCGCCTCCCGCCAAGCTGTCTGGCTGGCCACCGTTGGAACGGAGCTCTGGAGCAGATGGACCACTGGCTCGGATCAGCAGGGCTCTCGGCTTCTGGATGAGCAGCAGCCAGAGGCCCAATAAACCTCCCCATACGAGGCAGCGCTCGCGTTCCCCAAACGGCAGTGGAGCCAGGACTCAAGGAGAGTCAGGAGACATCCTAAAAGGCAAGAGGCGTTGGCAGCTGACCGTCGCAAGCCGGCACTGTCGAGCCAAACGAGCAGCAACCTCTTTCCTCCTTACCCAGGTGGCTCACCAGAACGGAATATTTTTCCCCCAGCCCTCAGTTAAGTTCTCTTAGAACGAACTCTGGGCCTTCTCTCTGGCACAGGCTCCCAAAGGATACGGTAAGTTAAGAAAATTAAGAAGCCACTTCCTGATTTGTGGTCTGTATTTTTTCCAAGGAAAACTGAAGTTATAAAAGTCACGTGAAGACGAGAATAAAAGCACACTTAGCTGGGAGTGAGGGTGCCGTCGACTGAAGAAACATCAAGTTGGCCGTGCTTGGCTGCCTATGGTCTTTCAAAGATCTGA